CTCTCTCTCTCTCTCTCTCTCTCTCTCTCTCTCTCTCTCTCTGGCACCTCGTAAAACAGCTCTATCTAATTGCTGCCGTTGGCTTTTTGGCAGTGTGTAGAGAGTCTGTCTCTGAGGAATAGAATGAGGCTGTGTTTAAACTTTGCAAACACACACACACTTTGTGTCAGTGAGCGGAGGGTCTACCGCATTTACTGCCCTCAGGGCTTCTAGAGGGAAGAGCTCAGCAGGTCTGTCTGAAGTTCAGCGCATTATCACCTCCTCTTCTCTCCCACCGGTAAAACAGCACCTCCTAATCCACTTCATCCACTCATGATCTAGTACTGCAGTATGTAAGGCCATGGCCAATATTGGCCAATGTTATCCCATGTATATCCCATGTTCCTTTTTAGGAACTAATTTTTTTTAGTAATTTCCTATTACTATTACTAAACCTCTCATTTCAAATATTAAACTTTGGCAGGAATTTTTATTTATTTATTTTTATTTAATTATTATTTTTTTCGTGCAGCTTGCTGTACATATTTGTGCTACTGCGTTTCTAATTAATTTGTCTTATGATTTGAAAAAATCCTATAGACTTACATCAAAAAGTCTATGGGACATAAATATCTAGACAAGAATGTTGTAGGTGATCTCCAACCATCTAGAAACCATTTAGAACACCGAAGCAACCACTCAGAACACCCTAACAACTCCCTAGCAACCATCAAAACACCGTAACAACTACCCAGAACAACCTAACAACCTCCTAACATCTCTATTGGAACCACCCAAAGCACCCTATCAACCATTTACAGCACCCAAGCAACCACTACCAAGGGTGGGCTCAAAGCAATCAGATAGAAATCACTCAGAACACACTACCAATTCCTTAGATACCACCCAGAACACCCTAAAACCCTTATCAACCACTCAGAACACCCTGCCATGCTGCTGGTTTGTGATTGTAGCCCCATGTAGCTTTGTTTTTCTTACTTTATCTTACTATCTCTCTCTGTTGTTTAAACTGCTAAAATATAACTTAATTCTGACCATAATTCTGATACTATCTATCAAACTAATTTGACATTGTTCGCTTTTAATCTAAACCACTAGCGCAGCGTGTTAGCATTCGTGTTAGCCTGTAGGCTTGTCATTTACGTTTCCATTCGCATTTCCTACTGTTTCTTTTTCTCTCTCTCATGCTCTGTTTCTTCTCTCTCGCTCCGCTATTCACGAGTTCATCAAACAACTGTGGTATATCGGAATCATTCAGCAATCAGCAGTGGCTTCTTCTCCTGTTATTGTCA